CCTAGGCAGGACTAGAACTCACAGTCTCCTGGTTTCTAGCCTGATGCCTTAACCACTACACCAAACTGGCTCTCAAGTGGCCTGGTGGGTAGCATGACATATATTTGTTGAAATTTTGACAATAAACAGACATGTGATATGTTGAATACTGAAGACTTTTCTGGATTTTTTTATGCCTAGGTGGACTGGGTCCAGTGTGATGGCTGCTGCAATCAATGGTTTCATCAAGTGTGTGTGGGTGTTTCTCCAGAGATGGCAGAAAAAGAAGACTATATTTGTGCAAGCTGTACCAGAAAGGATTCTCCATATCGAAAGTAAATCACCTGATGAGCATTCAGGACTGTACAAGAGAAGATGAGATTTTTCTCCATAAAGCCACTAGGCTGGTTTTAGAGCCACATTGCAAATGGTGCTACTTCTGTCCTCATGGGATCATTTTTCAGACTTAAAACAATTTGACACTTTTGTATTTTTATTCTTTAAGCTGTTTGTGGTTATTAAGGTTTGAAATGCTGACTCTTTTGGTCCAGGGGTTTTCGCCAGTTTGGAAGGCATCAAGACATGCACCTTTTCATGTATAGCATTAAATTACCTCTTCGGAATCTACCAGCACACTTAAATCAACTCTGTCTAGGTGCAAAGCAGTGCACTAAGCATCCCCATATAACTCTTTTTGAAGAAATCCCTGTTTACTCTTGAACATTTTTAAAAATGTTAGATTTCCCCCATTTTGATTTTGTAGACTAGATTTATTTATCTGAGCAATAACTTCTGTGTCTGCTTTCAGTGACTGGAATTATAATTCTGAACAGCGTGTTGGTGCTTTTAGCATTGGTTAATGTACAGACAGCAAATGTTTAGGTTCTAGTATCACTGATGAGACTAGTGATGTAGGAGACAGGAAAGCTCTGTAAAGTAATGGCCACAGCTGTATTTTGGCTTTTTCTTTTTTGGTAGCTTGTATCAAATGTTGCAGTTTATATTGTGGAATAAACAAATGGTTATGTTACAAAATTCAACATTGGTGTCTTTAGAGAAGTTGAATTGTAGCCACTTTTATGGCACGTTTTCACACAGTATTGTTTAAAAGCATCTATGCCACTGCATATTCAGCTTAATTTCTCTTTTTCATCCTGGAGAACCTTATATTAAAAAAACCCGAACAGACAAAATAGTCCTTCTTTGGGACAAATCTGGTAGTTTTTTTTTTACATGACAAATATGTGGACAATCTTGTACAACTTTGGGCTCTTACCTCTTGTAGACACAGATATGGCTTAGATCAGGTAAATGATTCTTAGAAAGAGGCTGTGTTAGATCAGTAGTCCTATCTGAACATAATGTAAGAGAAGAAAAATTGCTGCATTGGTCATTGAGAAAAAAGTTTGAGATGTGAGAAACAAGATAAGGAATGAAGCTACTGTAGTGGTATAAGATGATACAGGTTCAAATCCTTACCTCATATTGCTTACTGGGTGTCTTTGGGCCACTCACTCTCAGCCTAACCTACCTGTTGGTTGTTTTGGGGGTAATAAAATGAAATGATACTGCTATATATATTGTTGTGAACTTCAAAGGTAAGGTGCGATATAAATGCAATGGAAGCAGAAGCAGAGGCTTTTAGGGTTCTATCCCAGTGCCTGAAGGCTGTGGTGTTTGGGCCACCCAAATCTGAGGATGCTCTCCCTTTAACCTTGGATGGGCTAGCACTTCCTCATTCAAGAGTGCTGCACAATCTGGGGGCCCTCCTGGACTCACAGCACTGGTTCAATTAGCAGGTTGCAGCTGTGGCCAGGGAAGCTTTTGCACAGCTCCATCTGGTGCACCAGTTGCACCTTATCCTAGATTGAGAGGTCCTTCAGATGGGCATTCATGCTATGGTCACCCTATGGCTTGATTACTGCAATGTGCTGTATGTGGGGCTATCCTTGAAGATCACCTGGAAGCTTCAACTGGTCCAGAATGCAGCAGTGCAGGCAATGATGAGCATAAGTCGGTATGCCCACGTAACACCTTTGCTTCGGGATGCAAATGAAGATGCTGGTTGTTACCTATAAAGCCCTACATGGCATCCGGCTTGATTACTTGAGGGACCACCTATCTCCTCTAGTATCTGCCTGGCTGCTACATCGATCCAACATTTTTGGTGTTCCTTCAATTAAACAGTTCCTATCAGGACCCTGGAAGTGTGCCTTCTCTGTAACAGCGCCTGCCTGCTGGAATGATGTTCCCCCCAACATCTGGGTGACTCCTACCCTACTGGTGCTTCAGAAGCCTTTGAAGACTTGGTTCTTCGCCCAGGCACTTGGCTAGGATGGGTATAGCCCCCTTTGAGAAGTGGGTGTGTGTTTGTTGCTGGTTTTGTCATCTTTCTTTGTTTCTTATTTTATTTCTGTGTTTTTATTGTTTTATAGTTTCTCATGTTTTTTGTGACACTTCCAGAGTCATTGGGAGTTGGGTGGTGTACAAATTGAATAAATAATAACTAAATGATAAATATCTAAGAGAAAGCCAAGGAGCAAAGATAAAGTAAAATAGATACATGCACATAATCTAAGAAGTTGAGTTTGAAACATCAAAGGGCTCACAAGTCAAAATATATCCCATTTTAAGTTTGTTTATCCTTTGAAGGCATCCGACTATAATTTGGGAGAAAATAACATTTTTATTAGTAGATGAATACATTTGTTATCAGTAATATTTTTCCAACTCCAGTTTGAAAAGTGTTTCTTTTTTCAAAAAGCAAGATTTAAGTGTTTGAAATCTTAAAAGAACATATAAGAAAATATACTTACAACAGGATCAAATCTATGGCAAATGTTAAACCCTAATTTAAGAGTTCATGAATGCACTTGTTCTTTCTAAAGAAAGAAATCTCATCAGATGTCATTCCTAATGGCATTAAAGACTTTATACTTCTTTTGGAGCATTTTAGAGCTCACATTCTCCTTTTTGTATTGGACTGATGTCCTTTTCTGTATCCCTGCTGCATGGAATATGCTTGCCCTCTTCCTCTCTTGTTATTTGGTGTCTTCACAATCAGTATTTCATAATATTGGCCTATGAGTCAACAGTTCATAGCTTCTAACCAGTTGGGACAGACACTGTTCAGCTATGATCCATTTTTCTTGTGAAAAACAGGCATATACAGTAACTGCCACTTAAGAAATCTGAGTCCTGGATTTTTGAGAGCAGGAACTTTCCAACAATGCAAGAAATAAATGAATAGGCTAAAAAATCAGACAATAGAAAAAACAAAGGATTTAAATTTCTGTACTGTAGTTGCCATATAGGGGTGCTGATCTCAATCATGTCCCCCCATGCCTAACTTTTTGGGGAAAAAAATTATAATTTCTAATTTTGAGATTTGCTCCTTCTACAAATATTATGCATCTTGAAGTGATGAAAGTGGCCATTAAACATTATAGGGGATCCAGCTCTTTGAAAATCCAATGTAGTCCTTCAATACTATAAATACCTCAATTCTCAAACAATACTATTTTTTAAAGCTGTGATGTCAAGAGAGTTTGATTTTTTTTAGGGGAAGAAAATTACTTCTAGTCCTTGGAGTGGGGGTCCTGGGAGGGGAAGACAACCTTTTGCTTCAATGAAGAAAATGGGTATAAAAAAGAACGATCAATGTTAGAGAATCTCATTTTATTCATTTTACCAAGTATTGGATACTTCCAAGCCCCTCCAGAGCAGCAATGTTTTAGAAAGAAAGCATTGATTTTGTGATCACAACAAAGGAATGCCTGCTTACTTCAGACAGGGTAATACAATATCGGTCTCTCTGATTCCCTGTAGAAAAATGGTATTAGTGTAAGGGGACACTATAATATTACAAAATCCTGAAGGAACTGCTTGAGTACTTATTCACTATAAGGATGCTGAGGTAACAAAACTGCTGTCTTCCAATAAAATACATTTAAAGGAATTGTTTTGTCATAGTATTAGGCTGTAAAAGGCATTACACAGCACAGCTGCTAATATTATCAGCCACTGTTAATAAAATTTAATTAGTACAAATGTTGATTAAAGGCCAGATTCAATATATGTTTGTTAATATGTAATCTTTTTAAGCTTAGTTCAGTGCTTAATCATATCCTCCTGAAACATGGAAAAGAGTTGGAAAAATATTTTTTCTGGAAGGAAGAATGTGTAATGGGAATAGGGAGAGGGACACTGCTAGTTTTACTTTTTCTTTTTTGTTCATCAAACCTTATTATCTTCTGGAAAGACCTGACATCTTCTCAATCAGCAGGAAGTCAAATGTTAAGCATCCATACACCACACAACAATCAAATTCATTCCTTTATGGAGTGCTCCCATTTTTCACTTTGAAAAAAATCAGCACAACTTGATTTTTTTCAATGTGAGAGGCCTACCTAAAATGCAGTTAGATAATAAACTGATACATATCTACTCATAGATGAGAACTATTTTCTATCAAATATTTCTTCTATACTGTTAGTTACTATTTCTTCTATACCAAGTCAGTTACAATGCCTTTGGCTACAACCTTCTCTTTGGCACTGTTTGGGACACTCCATCTATACTTATAAGGAAAGCAAGCTGTGATGCTCAAGGAATACAAGGTGTAGCTCTTTTATTTTCCTAGCACACAGCATGTAAGAGTAGTCCCATTCATTCTCTCACCATCATTTTCCTATATGCCACAACATTTTGTGAAAGGGCAACAGAGAGATCCCAAGCTGCAGCCCACCACATAGCACCCTTCTGCCTTTGACTCAACTGTGGTTCTATCAGCTCTCCTTATCATAGCTCACTGCTAATCAGGATGAGGAAAGGAAACATTTTCCCTCCCAGGTAAAACTAGAAAGGACTTTTTTTTAAAGGTACCAGATGATTCAGACTGAAGTAGTTTCATTGCTCATGAAGAGTGATTTTACACGTATGCAATTCTTCGTGCTGCAAATAGCATAAGGAAAAGAATAATCACAATACTCCCACAAGTTTAGGCAAGACTGACCAGTAGTCAAATCTGTAACTCATGCTTCACTTTCTGGAAAAATGTTTAGATGATCAGCCTCTCCAAAGGGAGAACTGGCCAGCAAGATCATCACTAATGATTTTGGCAGTCAAATGACTAAAGGTTACAAGCAGATACTTCTTTATTATACCAGTGCCTACGTTTACCCAATATTCTAAGCCATAACCATTATTTAGAAATTACATTAGCAAGTTTGCACAGTATCCCAAGCCAAAACTAAATTATATTATGGTTTGAAGTGATGTGAAATCCAGGGTCTATGTTTTACTGCTAGTCAGCTGACTTTCAAAGCTTTGCAATGGGCCTTTAAATCAGGACTTGGGATTAGCACTGCAGTTTTATATAAATACTTTGGAACAGGGCCATTTAGTTAGGGGTGCCAAAGTGGTCTGAAAAGGAGTTGCCAAGCCTGTTTTTTGTTTGTTTTCAGTTGAGTTTGTAAGCAAAGAGGGAGGACATTCCCCTGTGTTTAAAATATAAGTCATCCTACTCTGTTCAGGGCTGGAGTATAGTTCCATCAAGCCGGTGTTGGGGACAATAGGAATTATAATCAACATAAGGAGAGGACCTCATATTGTTGAATTCTGCTGTAAATAAATGGGCAAATTTTTCAGTGGGCTGCCCTCAGAGTACTAAATTTCATCACAGACCATAATAGCTGGATTACACATAATTGCTTTGTGATAATTGATTGTCAGGCCGACATCTAGTAAGGGCGTCCTAAAAAATGCTTTTAAATCTCTGCCTACAGCCAATTCGCATCTTCTGTTCCTTAAATGATCACGTGAGCCTACCCATTCAACATCCAGAGATAGTTGCGTCCTTAGAGCTTCAAAGGCTCGATAGGAGTGCTAAGCATAGGCGCGCTTGCCAGCGTTCGTCGCGATGTTGCATCCATACAATTCTCTTAGCAGTGTTATGGTGTGGCTCGCAACTTCCCAATGTAGCCAACAACCCTGCCATTCCCGGGTGATCTCTTCTCCAAGTACTAACCATGAGGGGAAGTCTTGCTTAGCTTACGAGTCAATCAAGAAAGGCCGGCTAAGTGGCATTGCAATTCACTTCACGCACACTATAATCAGTGTCCTTTATTTCCGAGTAAAGTTGCATAAACTCGGCCTTCTGACAAGTCAGGTTTTCTTTACGAAATTTTGGCTGGCCTCCGTCCGCAACGATACCAGACTTTGCCTACTCTACATGTACTATCAGGTAAAGATCGTCGGTGGCGTATGGCTACTGTGTCAGCATGCAGAAACCGGCGGAGAGCAGGTTTTCGGGGCAGAATAAAAACCTCAGGCGAACTTTATGCTCCTTTCAGTGCGTATATAAGGGCCTCAAGGGGCGCTCTTCGGGAATCTCTCCGGCTCTGATTCTCGCAGGCGTCGCTCTCGAAGAACGCGTCGTTGCGTGCGCGTTTGGCGCGTGGCGGCGGCGGCTCCCGCGACCCTCTGGTGCCGCTTCTTTCTCTTTCCTCGGTCTCGCGCTCTTCCACGGGGCTTCCTCCGAGTCTTTCCTTCCGCCCAGCGCGGCGCTGCCTGGAGGATACCGCGGGATGTCGGGAGCGGTGGCAGGCGGCGGGCCCGGACCCGTG